TCTTCCTCTGGCTGGAGAATGCCTTTCCATGTCCCACCCTTCCCATCTTTTCCCACAGTTCCAGAGGTCCAACTTTTCTCTTCTGCCTTTGATATTGGTCATTCAGCTCTTTATTAAACCAATCAGAAGATGAGGGATGTGTACGTTTACAAAACATTGTGACATGTGATGTTAACAATACCAAAGTCCAGTCTGTACTCAGCTCTCTGCTGGTACAGAAATCAGCATTTGAAGATACAAAGACAACCCTTACATAGTGCACAAGAAGATCACCCCAACAGAGTTTACATGCAGTGTGGGAGGAGCCTGTAGGCTGGCTTCTTGCAGGGCAAGTCCAGGCCTAGATGTTGGTAGCAGTGAAGGCAAAAGTGACCAAGCTATGCTGAGTTATTGAATGTGGGACCAACGTTAGATTTGGGGGATTGAGGAAGGCATATGGAAGGAGCAATAGGGTGCACTGACTAGGAAAGATCTTGGATGTTGTGTTTATTTATTATTCTCTTGTGTGTAGGTATTTTGCCTGAATGTATATCTGTACCCACATGCATGCAGTAACTATGAAGGCCAGAAGACAGCAATGGATGCTCTGCAAAAAGTTACATATGGTTATGATTGGTCCTGGAAACTGAAGCTGGGTCCTCTGGAAAGGTAACTATGTACTTTTAATCACCCTGCCATCTCTGGAGCCTCAGATTTTTAGGTCTCCTAATAAAAGGGAACCTCAACTCATGAATCGTCTTTATTAGATTAAACTGTGCCCCTATCCATAGAAACAATTTCCTAATTACTAATTGACGTAGGAAGGCCCAGGACACTATGGGTGATGCCATCGTTAGGCAAGTGGACCTGTGCTCTTTAAGTAAAGTAGCTGAGCAAGCCATAGAGACCAAGGCATTTGCAATGTTTTTTCACAATCTGTGCTTTAGTTCCTGCCTCCATAGTCATGTTGTGATTTTATTCCCCTGGCCTCCCTACATGACAGACTACAAGTTATAAGAGAAAGTAAGTTATTTCCTTCCAAAGTTGCTTTTGCTTATGGTGTTTATCACAGTGGCTGAAAGCAAACCAGAACAGTTACTTAGTAACCATTAACTTAACCAATCTGTTAGCAGCACATTGCTCTGAATTGGTGAAAATGCATTAAGAAATGCAGAGAAACTGGTTCAAGGATAGAGCAATTCTAAATAAAAGTCAAAGGTGATTAAATAAAAATAAATAAAAGTGATAGCAAGAAACCACATTTTAGTCCCTAAACTTTTTGACATGATTGGTAGATTATAGTGACATGATTAAAAGAGCCTCAGAAAACTAATGGTGTTTATAACATTCTGTTACCACTAGAAATCCCATTTTAAAAATAGTGGACTAAAAGAAGAGGTTGCTTGTAGCTCAGTGATTGATCAATTAACTAGATGAGAGCAAACAGGACAGGAGCCTACTGTAGATGTCCTCTGAAAGACTCCACCCAGCAGGGTATTGAAGTGGATACTGAGACTCACAGCCAAACTTTGGGCAAAGGGCAGAGAGTCTTATGGAAGAGTGAGAGGACAGAAGGACCTGGAGGGGACAGGAGCTCCATAACGAAACCAACAGAGCCAACAAATCTGGGCCCAGGGGGCCCTGCAGTGACTGATGTACCATCCAAAAACCATGCATGGAGAGGACCTAGACCCCTCCTCAGAGGAAGCATAAATGTGCCCCTTAATATACACACAAACATAAAAAAAAACAAACAAATGTAAAAATAAATAATGTGTAGATTATTTTTTAAATTAAATAATTAAATTCAGTTTTAATTAAATTTACATTAATCTATTGCATTAAATTATTTAGAATACATGTGACAGAAGTACCAGAAAAATACAAAAAGAAGAATGAGGAAGAAATAATCAATACTTGAAGAAATAATGTCAAACATATTTTGTAACACTATAAAATATTGAATGTTAGGAGTCATTACAATTTGCAAACATCAAGCAATATAAAGAAAGCCATGCTTATGAGCTTCTTATGAAAACTACAAACGCTAAAGTGGGGGAAGATTTTTGAAGCACAACAAAAAGTGTACTATAACCATTTAATTTAACTCATTTTTTTAATCAGAAAAATCTATAAGGAGAGATTACTGAACTGATATTGTTATGCCAGGTTCACGGGACCCTCAGAGACCACCAGGAGATGACTCGATGCAATTGCAAGAGAGCTTTATTACGAGAGCGATCGAACTCGGGACCCAAATCTCACTGGCGCAGCAGTAGAGAAGTGGGACCCTGAGCTCTGAGTGAACAGGATTTTTAAAGGGAAAGTCTGTGAGCTGGGGGTTTCCATGGCAGCAAGCAGGGGGGCACAAGCCTTGGCGTTACAGAGTTGGGTGAAGTTTAGCAGGGTGGGGTGACCTTTTCTGAGGCACATAATCACAATGGCTAAGGCATATAATCACAATGACTATTTTTCTAAACCATATCTGAAACATTGGGGAGAATTTTTCCACCCGATTCTCAACCAATTCCCATTGATTATTGCCAGGGAGTTTGTCTCTATTTTCTATGAAGCATTTATTCTGTTATATTTCCTGGAGGCTGTTGCTAGGAAAGTTGTTCTGACAGGTGTACATTCTGTGATATTTCCTGGTACCTGAATTCAGTTCCCAGTCAAGATCTTTATTTCAAAATGGAGTTATATTCAGGTTATCTTAAGCTCTTCAATATCCTTAAAGTAATTTTAGAAATTCTAAATGAGGAGGACATTGCAGCCAGTCCTGAAGATACCTGATAAACTAGGGTCAGTTAGAAGGGGGAGAGGACCTCTCCTATCAGTGGACTTGGAAAGGGGCAGGGAGGAGATGAGGGAGGGAGGGTGGGGTTAGAAGGGAATGAGAAAGGGAGCTATGGCTGAGATACAAAGTAAATAACCTGTAATTAATATAAAAAAATAAAAATGAATAAAAAAAGAAATTCTGAATGGTAAAACCATCCTTTTAAAATGAAAGTCAAGCAATTATGGTAGTGAATTCCTGAAATTCCAGGACTTGGAAAGTTGAGGCAGAGGATTAGGAGTTCAAGGCCAACCTCTAGAGCTAAAAAGTGAGTTTCACGCTAGTCTGAGCCACATGAGACCTGTCACAATTCCACCCTTAAAAAAAAAAAAAAAACATAAAAGTTATCTTATGAAAGAAGTGGGAGATAGTAGGAACGGGAAAGGACAGGAACTCTACAAGGAGAGCAATAGATGCTAAAAGTCTAGGCACAGGGGTCTTTTCTGAGACTGGTCCAGCCAAGGACCACTCATTGAGATGGCCTGGAACCCCTGCACAGAGGTAGCCTATGACAATTCAGTATCCAAGTGGCCTCTATAGTAATGGGGACAGGGACTGTCTCTGACATGAACTGATTGGCCCTGCTCTTTGATCACCTCCCCCTTAGGGGGAATAAGCCTTGCCAGGCCCCAGAAGAAGACAATGCAGACAGTCCTGATGAGACCTGATAGACTAGGATCAGAGGGAAGGGGAGAAGGACCTCCTTTTTCGGTGGACTGGGAAAGGGACACAGGTGGGGAAGTGGGAGGGTGGAATTGAGAGGGGAGTAGTGAGAGACCAAAGTGACAGCTATCATTAAAACCTAGAGTAGGTGAGTAGGTGCAGTAAAGTAGTTAGTAATCCCCTGAGGGGAGAGCTACCTCGCTGCATTCTTTCCCCACCCACTAGAGATACAGTTGCTAGGAAACTGGCCCATCCCCCTAAAGAGGAACACCTGGTCATTAATGGCCTGGGAACCTTCCTATAGCCAATCGATTCAAACATGTAGCATTTTGACCAATAGATGCTTGCCAGGCAGGAATTGCCCCTGCCTTGGGCATGCTGGGATGGACCAGAATCTATAAATCACCCAACTAACCTGGGCACGGGGGCTCAGCTCCCACTGCTTCGGCAGTGAGGCTGTGTTGGCCCAAGCTGCAGCTTGTAATTTACAATAAAAAGACCCTCATGTGTTTTGCAACGAAGTCGATTCCTGTAGATCTTTTGGGGGCTCGCGAACTGGGTATAACAGTAGGAATGTACTGGGGGATAAAAAAGTGAATAAACTGTAATTGATAAACAAAATTAAAAAAAATTCAAATAAAGTATTTTCAAACAGAAAAATTTGGTTAACTTGCTTCCAGCATACAACAAATATTGAGGACACTCTTCAGTCTAACAAAATTATGTAAAGAGCTGGAGGATACTATCGGTAGCATTTTGTACATTACTATATAATTATAAAATATTTTCATTTTTTCTTTTCAAAATTGTGTAGACCTGGATTCAAATAAGCATCATTACACATAAATGTGACATGTACATATGTATCATAATAAGTGGCCTGAAGTGCTATATTTTCCTTTTGAAATGGCTTACTAATAATCCATAAACATAAATTCATGTGCTGTTATAACTAGAGAAAAACACTAAAAACATGATTGGGACCATTACAACAGAATGATGAAGACACTGAAATTATCTGAAAGAACAGGAAAGCACAGAAAAGCAATAGTAAATAGAAAGAAAAGAGCAAAGGGCTAAATTTAAGGTCACAGCTGGGTCAGTAATACATTAACAGTGTGTAAGCTTGCCAAATAATAGTGACTATCAAGATGGATAAAAACGTAGCCGAAAAAACACAAAGACTTGAATATCTGCTTTTTTTTAATACAAGACTCTCCTAAATATAAAGTGCAGAGCACAGCCCTGCTACAGGGTCAGACCCAACTGGGGCAGTGAGGGAATGAAGAAAAAAACAGACACGTAAACACAGAAGAGCTGGGATTAGGTGGACTGGGCTCTCTGATAGGAAAAAGGCCACAGCTTCCCCGAATTTTAGTGAATTTCTTATGTACAGTCGGCCCTAAAGGTGCGGTTATTGCACTCGGCTGAACAAGAAGGCTGGGTTTGTAGCTTGAAGCGGTATCAAAAATACAGGCTTTGTGTTTTCTCTTAGGAGCTGTCTCCGCAGGGTAGTCATCATGCTGTGAAAACTCTGGTGGTTGTTGTCTGCGCATACAGACCATCAACATTCCTATTCAACCCTACAAGGAAGACTTTGTCATCTCTCTGAAGTCTAGCCTGTGGGGAAGGCTTTGTCATTTCCCCATGTGCCTGAGGCTTTGGGATCCTTAACATCACTGTGAACATATCAACAACACATACTCATTCAGGATTTCATTCATTTGGGGCTTCCTACAGTAACTATATAGGTAAATTGAAAAATACAGTAGAAAAAAAAAGTTTGCTAAACTTTGAGCATAACTTTCTATATTCTATTAATGAAAAATTCCTAATCACAATTACGGCAGATTCCTAATCACAAAAGTTTCAGCTCATCAAGGATGAATACAATTATTTATGTTTCAATGCCAAATAGCGGGGGTGGCAGGAATTTCACAATTGCATTTAGACATTTTAACACCACTGTCTTATTGGCTGATAGAACACCTGGTCTCAAAGAGCATTAGACAAATTACATCAACAACCTTGTCAATCACCTTTACTGAAAGGATATTTGTAGAACAACACATTCAACAATTAAATGGAAACTGCATTATTCTTGTGATTGTGTTTACACAGATGGTCCATCTGTAGTTATGTGGAATTAAATCCCAATAAATTAAAATACTAAATTGCATAAAGTATCTTTGTTGCCACACAGGTTTAAAAATAAAAGTTTAAAGCATGTCAAAGATAATCATGGACAATTTCTAGTCAAATAGTGTACTTCTCAATAGTCCAGGTTTCCAAAAGATATGATAAACTATATTTGAAATTTAATAATGTTTAAACTTGTCAAAATTTGTTGACTACTGCTTAATCCAAAGATGGACTCAAAGCTTTGGATATATTTCCAGCTTTGAGATGACAGAATGATCAATAGAACTGGTCAAATATGGATGGTGTCTCAAAGTTTCATGTTCTCAAAGTTTGGTCTCCAGTGCAATAATTTTGGGAGCCAATAGAATCTTTATAGCCTCCTGGAATGTGATAACATGACCAGGTCATGGCTCCCTTTTGAAAGAAGTAATGCTGTTATTATACAGGGGACTTGTTTCCCTGAGAGCAAGTTTTGATTAGAGGAAAACTCATTCCTCTTTGCTCTTAATTTCTCTCTTCCAATGTGAATTGTTACAGGCTCTTCTACATCTGATGTCAGCAGCCATGTTGTGACACGCCCAGTGACTGTCACCAAATGGACTTTTGAGTCATCAGTATCGTGAGTCGAGCAAACTACCTTTCTTTTTATATTATTAAACATTAAACAGTTTGTTACAGTAACACAAAGCAGATGAAGGCAACCATCCCAAGATACAGATACAGGAATACTGCAACCAGCTGACATGAATTTTTATCTTCATAGGCCATAAAAGGTAATCATATTTTTCTGTCAATAAACAATTGCTTTTATAATTTAGATGTTTGTTTTTTAAATTATTGTAGTATTTCTTTTCTCATTTCCAGAAGAGTGCCAGTGTTTAGCTATATAGGTAAATTTGGGTGAAATATACTTCATTAGTTTTTCTGATTTCTCTAACAATCATGATAGTCATTAAATATTTAAGTCTGAAACCTCGTCAGTGGTCTTGTTTTTCTACTATATGTAGCTCCCATATCAATATGCCCAAGAGATAGAAAGGAGCTGTCTCTGTAGTCCTTCCTTACTGTGGCATGTCTTACCTTCAGGAGCAGCTGTCAAATTGAGTATCTGATCCACAAAACGTTCAGGATCTTCAGGCGAAGCTCCAAAGTTCATCACATTCATGGGTAGTTGCCCAAATTTAACCTTTCAGCCTACTGATTAAATTGTGCAGACTTGCTTAATTCAGGATACAACAGAGACCTCACATGGCCTTTGCATCAACTTATTTGCTTGATATAATAAAAAGTTCATGTAGTGTCTGAATTCTCTAACCAAAAATGAAATAAATGTCAAAAATAGAACCATGCCTGCTTCTATGACAAGATCTTTGCTATGATACCAGCGATATCACTTCATCACCATTTTATTATATGTACCTTTTCCCACTTTCTCTTAACATATGAACATTGAGTAATAGAAGAAACCATCACATGGATAGAGTCTAAGTATAACTGATGTAACTGTAAGGAAGTGAGGCTATGTGAGGTTGATTTTTTGTGTTTCTTCAATGCCTGTTTGTTAAAATAATTTTGTTAAAGTATATTGGCTTATTAAATATACTAACTGGTAAGGACACTGGGGCCTAAAGAGCTAAGCATTGTATGTAAGAGAACAAGACCAATATATGGTACTGGTACAGCCATATTGAATGGGAACAGCAAAATTCATAAAGCCAGCACAAAGATCCAACAAAGCTGAGCAAGCGATGCAACCACTGTGGTATGGTTCCCCACTTTTTGGCCTTAATTTCTACATGCCCCATTTTTGGGGAGCTTTTATTATTCGTATAATTTGGGCATATTGGATTGATGGAAATTTTCTTATGAATCATTAATAACTTCTTCCAGGAGAACTGCATCTAACCTCTCCCAGGAATGTCCTGACTGTACTACCTCTCCCGTTTTTAGGGAGAGATCCTTCTCTGGCCCTACTTGAAGGTCTTCCTTATGCCCTGCAGGTTGTGACTCAAATAATTATGCCAGAAAACTCCTTATGATGTTCTGACTCAAAGATACTCTTGGCACATCTCCCTGAACTTACTCAGGAACAAAATAATCAAACAAAGTAAACTTAAAAAAGTAAATAATATTCGGTAGGCTCGAGTAGTTGGCAGCAGATCAAATTAAAAACCTCTTCTTACTACAGATGGACAAAGAATGGTTTGGATAAATAATAAAACCTCCCTTTGTTAGAAAAAGTTAACTCATACATGGCCATTATGGTGAAATAAGAACACGGAAGAAAAGAATACCAAGATTAGACACATAAATAAATTCCACAAATATATAAAATATAAACATTGTATTATGGTAGAAATTAAATAATAACTGAAGTAATTTTAGCTTAAAGATTTTTCTTGAACATAATGACAATTAACACTCTGACCCCTAAAAACTGATAAAGCACTGCTTGGGATATGACAATCTTCCCAGTATGGCTTAGGGATTTTCTTTCGTCTGGTGTCCTTGAAACCACAAGAGCTACAAGCCTGAGAACAGGCTGTCATGGTTTGGCAAAATATACCCTTGAAATTGCAATATTGGTGAAGATCTTTTACTAGTCTATAGGCTCACATCTTATTCTGTTGACAGTGTCCTTTGCTTTACAGAAGGTTTTCAGTTTCATGAGCTCTCATTTATTGATTGTTGATCTTAGAGCCTGTGTTGTTGGTGTTCTGTTTAGGAAGTTGTCTCCTGTGCCAATGAGTTCTAGCCTCCTCCCCAATTTTTCTTCTAACAGATTAAGTGTGTCTGGTTTTATGTTGAGGTCTTTGATCCACTTAGACTTTAGTTTTGATGAATATAGATCTATTTGTATTTTTCTACATGTAGACATTCAGTTAGACCAGCACCATTTGTTAAAGATGCTGTCTTTTTTCCATTGTATGGTTTTGACTTCTTTGTCAAAAAATCAAGTATCTGTAGGTGTGTGGGTTTATTTCTGGGGTCTTAGATTTGATTCCGTTCATCCACCAGTCTATTTCTGTGCCAGTGCCTTGTTGTTTTTATGACTGTTGCTCTACAGTACAGCTTGAGATCTGGGATGGAGATACCTCCAGAAGATTTTTTATTGTACAGGTATTAGCTTTTTCTATTTTTTGTTTTTGTTTTTCCATATGAAATTGAGAATTTTTCTTTCAAGTTCTGTAAATAATTGTGTAGGTATTTTGATGGGAACTGCATTGAATCTGTAGATAGCTTTTGGAGATGGCCATTTTCATCATGTTAATCCTACCAACCCATAAGCATGGGACATCTTTTCACCTTCTGCTATCTTCAACTCTACATATGACAGAGGGCTAAGATCCAGAATATATAAAGTACTCAAGAAGTTACACACCAACAAACCAATTAATTCAATTAAAAAATGGAATACAGAGCTAAACAGAGAATTCTCAACCAGGGAATTTCAAATGGCAGAGAAACACTTAAAAAGACATGCTCAGCATCCTTAGTCATCAAGGAAATACAAATCAAACTGACCCAGAGATTCCTCTTACACCCATAAGAATGGCTAAGATCAAAAACTCAAGTAACAGCATAGGCTAGAGAGGATGTGGAGAAAGCAGAACCTTCCTAGTGGGAACGTAAACTTGTACGACCACTTTGGACATCTATCTGGAGCTTTCTCAGAAAATTAGGAATAGTGTTACCTCAAGATCCAGCTATGCCACTCCTGGGCATATATCTGAAAGTTGCTCAATCAGACAAGGACATTTGTTCAACTACGTTCATAACAGCTTAATTCATAATGGCCAGAATCTAGAAACAACCTAGATGTCCCTCAATGGAGGAATGGGTACAGAAATTGTGGTACATTTAAGCAATGGAATACTACTCAACAATTTAAAAAAAAGGAAATCATGAAATTTGCAGGCAAATGGAAAAACTAGAAAAGATCATCTTGAGTGAGATAATCCAGAATCAGAAAGACACACATGGTATGTACTCACTTACAAGTGGATTTTAGCCGTATAATATAGGATAATCATACTAAAATCTATAGTCTTAAAGAAGCAAAACAATAAAGAGAATGCTAAGAATGAGGCTTAATCCTCATTCAGAAGGGCAAGTAAGATAGACACAGGAAGCAGGAAAAGACAGGGAACAGAACAGGAGCCTGCCTCAGAGGGCCTCTGAAAGACTTTACACAGCAGAGTATTGAAGCAGGTACTGAGGCTCATAGCTTTGGGCAGAATGCAGGGAATCTTATGGAAGAACGGGGAGATAGAAAGACCTGGAGGGGACAGGAGCTCCACAAAGAAACCAACAGAGCCAAAAATTCTGAGTCCAGGGGCACCTGCAAAGACTGATGAATCAACTAAGGACCATGTGTGGAGAGGACCCTAGACCCCTTGTTCAGATGTAGCCCATGGACAGTTCAATCTCCATTGGGTTCCCTAGTAAGGAGAGCAGGGGCTGTCTCTGGCATGAACTCCGTTGTTGCCTGCTCTTTGATCATCAACCCCTGGTGAGGTGGCCTTACCAGGCTACAGAGAAAGAGGACCCAGACTGTTTGGAAGAAACCTGATAGGCTAGGGTCAGATTGTAAGCAAGGAGGACTTCCCCTAATGGTGGATGAAGGGGAGGGGTATGGGGATTGGGAAGGGGGAGGGAGAGTAGGACAGGGAGAAGATGAAGGAGGGGACTATGGCCGGGATACTAAGTGAATAATTTATATTAAATAATAATAATCAAAAAATTAAAAAAAGAAACTGCAATATTTTTAAAAGTTTAGTTGTTGGATTGATGAAGAAAATTGATTATAAAAGATAATTCTGTTTTATCATGGTTTATCAATGATGACTAAACTTATGACCAACTGGAAGTTAAAACACATGTCCAGGAAAAAAATGGTATGATCGCATCTGCTTAGATACCCTGCTGTGTAGAGTTTTTCAGAGGCCCTCTGGTAGGCTTCTATTCTTACTCCCAGAAAGAAGCTATTTCTTAATTAAATATTTGAATTTCACTCTGAAATTCTAAAACCTAAAACAAGTTTGCCTTATATTGACTTTAAAATTTCACATAGAAAAGGAAGATGAAGATACCTATGAAAATAATGACTATAACACTAGAGGTCCGTTTCCTTAATTAGCCCAAACAGAAAAATACAAATAGAATAATATGCAAATGGAGACAGCCCTCAGTGTTTATAACATGACACTGAACTGTATGAACTATTTACTTATAAGCAGTGTTTATCCTTACTGGTTATCAGTTCAACTGCTAAAAGAAAAGAAAAGAAAAATTCATTCAAAATAAAAGTGGAAAGATTACAAAAGGACACATTTAAATGTAAAATTCTATTATATTATAAACAATTTTGCCAAATCAAAACAATAGTCTACTCACAGAGCAGATAGTTTGAAAGTATCTTTCTTTAAATTAAACAACTACGAATTTTGATGTTTTAGTATATTCAACAGTCTCAGCATGTCAAGTGTGCAAGGTTTTGTTCAGCAGTGTTTGCCACTGTGCAATTGTATATTTTGAAATATATATATATATATATATATACATATCCACAGGAAGTCATGGAAAACCACTGATCTAGACAGTCTCTTATCTGTCCAAGGTAATTTTTTAAGGACTTTTGTCTCATTGACAGAGAAAAACTTGTTTAACTCAGTACTTTCTTAAATTATTTCTCCCATAACACTAATTTATTTACTTTTTATGTATGTGTTTGTGTGGGTGCACACATGCTAAGGTACATATGTGGAGGTAG